AGTGCCCGCCCGGTGTTCGGGAGGTCATGGGTTCGATTCCTGTCGGGGACTCAGAATCTTTCTTTGTCCCACGCTCGTGTCATGTTGATTAATTCACCTTCACAAATTTTTGCCGTGTTTTTCACTCCCCCAAGCAAGTTGAACTAAGATGGCGTCCGAAACCGTGAAAAGGCCTATTGAAGGCCATTTGTGATCGTTTGGCAGCTCGTTTTCTTTGTAGAGAGATGTGGATGCCTGAAAAAACGCGGCGAGTCAACACTAAACAACCTGTTTTCGGAACTTGCCATAATGAGCGCACTATAAATCTTTGTTTCTGGACCTAGTATTTGTTGGTAACTATAGACCAGTGTTCGAGTATTACCTCACTACTTTTCGGCTTTATTCACTTCAATTGGCGGGCTCTGGACATTGTCCGTTTAGCTGAAACATTTCTTTCTTCTTATTTCCCATTATAAGTGAGAATGAAAAGTTTTTACAGTTACTACTTTGTAGCTTCATTCATTTCAATTAGCGGGCTCTGGACATTTCGTTCGTTTGGCTGGAAACATCTCTTTCTTCTTGTTTCCTGTTATAACTGAGAATGAAAAGTTTTTTATTTTTCTAAGAATGTTTTTATTAATAAATATAAAGAAATAAAAAGAACATTCGAAAATGATTGTCGCTGAGTAACTGATGCTGTAAACGTGTTTTACTGTTTTGACCCTTTGACTTACAAATATTATTTTACTAAATTCGTGACAGGAAACCATGCAACGCCCATGAAATGTTACGAGACTCTCGCAGCTAACATTTGGCAGCTTTAACTTACCTTTCCCTACCCTAACCGGGGGTTTTACCACATTTTTCTGCCGACTTAAGTCTTGTTTCCAAAAGCCAAGGATAGCATTCGAAAGTTGGTAAAGTTGACAATGGTTAACGGTTATGCTAACAATCAAACTCTCGCCAATTTTTAGCTGCTAGAATTTTCCATTACAGTGCAGAGTAAAATTTCAAAGGAACAACACAAGTTTTCTTCGCAACTTTTCTCGCTCACTAAAGACACGCGCTCACGTCTAGGGCTTTCTTAAAGAGACTGAAACTTTTAAGCAAACTTTGAGTTAACGTTGCTTAAAGTTATCTATATGCTTTACCTCAACTTTATGCACGACAGCGTCTATGCTGGCTTAAAGAGTTTTAACCATATTTACGCTATAGCGTAAAGTTAATCCAACTTTACGTTTTCATCAGTCATTTTATGAAGAATGTTACAAACGTCCTTTCCCAGCCTCGTAATGCCAAATTTCTCCATGAGCGCCCCCCCTCCCCCCCGCCCTATCATCGCAACTGGCAGTGCTAACTTCGGTCCAAGGGTCCAAAATAAGTACACCTTGTAAAGTTTCAACTCCGCATAATTGAAATCACGCGTCATCGAGGAAAGTAAACAGCAAATGTGGTTAAGTATATTAAAAAAACAGAGAAACGCCAAAGGTGAAGTTCCTTAAAAGTGTTGCCGGAGATATACATTGTTCACTCTTTTAATCAAATAAGTAGTGTTTTCGCATTTCCGGACAATAAGGACGGAGATAAACGTTTTCCCTTAAACTGATCTCTTCTGTAGATTACGTGTTTCCGCTACAATGTATTTGTTAGTCATTCTTTCTCTGTTTCCAGTTCCTATTCCTCTGAAAGCAACACTAGACAACTGACGATCCATTGAGATATAGAATGGCAGGACAATTATCCACAAAGGTATAAAAGGACGAATGTAGTCGTGTTACAAGAAGGTTTTGTTGACTGAAGGTGCAGAACAGATCGGTAAGTGTTGTATTAGCTATCAGGCTGTCACTCGAGTGAGGTGCTATCACCAGCAAAAATATAGAAAATAAAAGAAAATAAAAATAAAAAAGCCCCGAAAAATTACACTTACGCCTTATTTGTAGAGTATGGTATAACTGCTTAGGTGTCGTGATGGTAAAGTCAATGAAAACTTTTGATTTGCATTATTTAATGAACCTGTTTTTACTTATTGTCTATCTTCACTTTTAGCCGCTTTTTAGCCCCTGACCATGAACATACCAAGAAGACAAGAAGCTTTTCCTACAGTGTTTGGCCATAATATCCCTTGCACACAAACTGACTGTGTGTTACCGGGTTGTGTTAACCTGAAGGTAAAGAAACTGAAAAACAACAAAACAAAGAAGATAAAGAAACCTGGCAGAAAACCAAAGTAGGTCAACTTATATCTTGATGTCACCATAAAGTACTACAGAACGGAGGTTATCAATCCATTTCCCACTCCAAATGTTGGCCAAATTCTATTTCCCAGCCTATCTTTTTTTTGCCAAACTCCCAGTCACAGCACCGAGTGCAATTTTAGAGAAATCCCAGTGTTTGGTCAATTGTCTTAAATCGTGTTTTTATATGACATTTGCTAGTTTTAGACTATCACTAATACTGTTCAGCAAATTAGTAGCGGTTTTCTTGGATTAACTAAGTCGATATAAAAAATAGTCCACACTGAAATTTGTAACTCCCCTTCGTTTGCTGGAATCCTTAACTGCACTCATCTGTATCGATATTTTTTCCAGTTCTATATTTTGCAGTTTGTTTTTTTATTTGATTTCTGTCTTCATCTCCCCCACCCGCCGTAAGGTCAGTTTCCCGATATTGTTTAAATTATTGACATTTGTAATGATCCGGCGCTCCTCACTCCTCGCTGTCTTTTGGCCGTTAGCACAAGTTTTGAATAAGAGATTAGATACAAGAGTGGACTGCGGCACTCGCGGGGAGTCAAAGGAAGGGATGAAGGGAAAATAGCCCCTTTGTTATCTAAAATTCCCATGCACTTCTCTGGAGCTAAGGAGAAGAAAAAAGTAAAATATGGGTACGTAGAAATAACTACACTCAAACCAAGTAAAGCGTACCTCTAAAGATCACGTTAAGAATTGCATGATTATTTGAATGCTGAACCCCTAGTCGTTCCAAGAATACGCCTAACGGGCTTACTATTGCATTTGGCTTGAAACGATCAGCGGGTTCAATATTCAAATCTTGAAGGGTACGCTCCACTTGGTTTGACTGTAATGTGTCTGAATCTCTTATAATTAGGAAAAGTGTGGACCGAGGCACAAAGAGGTCAAAGAGGAGTGTTATTGGAACTGGCAGAAGTGTCAGTCATGCGCAGTGGTGGGAGGAGGATCTGGACGATGTTATCGACATTTTGAGACAGGAGATTTCTGACACTACTCATGTTTCACAAACATCTTTAAACAATGATTTACTGACGTTTCCAGCCTTGCCAGTCCAAACTGCTTCCCGTCCTCGAATTACAGTCCAGGCCGATTTTCCAGTTTTTCCAGTGGCCCACCACCTAAAACTCGATGAGATCGACTCGGGCAAAGTGGCAGGTGACACACCTAATGCTAACATTACAGATAACTTCCAACAGCCATGTGATATCACAAGTGTTCAGACCTCTCCGTGTGTTATGGATGGAACAGTATCTGGTCCAGAAACAAGCTCACCGGAAAATTCTTCTGATTTAAATCGCTTCTCAAGGCAGAGTCAAGGCAAACTCCTGCTGCAGTATTCTGAGAGAGAAGAGAATGGGAACGCCTCTTATATGAGGAAACCAACTAGCTCCATACATGCTCCTAACAAGCTGTTTGGAATTCTTTCTCTTATCCTTCAGGCTTTAAATAGTCCCCTGACAGAAGTGCTTGAGGAATGCTATACAGGAGTACTACAGAAAGCTCTCGCGGAAATTCAGTCTGCTGTTACTATATACAATTCTCTTAGTGATCACATGATCACAAATCTGTCGTGAACTAAGAAACTGCACGCCATTCCTCATAAACAACACGGACTAGTTTAGTCATTTTACTAGCTGCTTTAAGTCATCATAGAAGTGAATTTTCAGTAAAAAGAGAACACTTTGCTTTAGAAAACTGTCGGCAATATTTGTATTAGTCATAGCAGACACAGTGCCTTGTGTCCGCAAGACCTAACCTGTCCCAGCATCTCGAGTTTACAAGATTTGTTAATCTAAAAAATCTGGTAATTTCAAACAAGCTTAGTATACTATTTTCCAGGCCACAAGTCTGGAAAAAACATCCCCAATACGACTTTCATTACTGTAAATTAGACTCGGTAAATCGTTTTCAAACAGGTAGGCAGAAAAGGGTATACAACGTGTAAAAAGTAAAAACTGTTTGAAGTTCTTGTTTAAGCCTCTTGAAATAGTTTGGTTTGTTGGGAGCAGTATTAAAAACGACAAGCCCCAACCGAAAAATTAAAATACTGTCTAGAATTGGAAGGGAATGTTATTGAGCGCGTTCAAATGAGGATTCTAAGAGACTGTGAGAACCCTGCCCCAGGTACTAAATCCCTTTCAATTTAAAATTCTTTTGTATGCATTTAATTAGCTTCACTTAACTCGTTTGATAGTACAAATTCTTTTGAATTGTCAACTCAAAAGCGATGTTGGTCAGGGTGATTTTAATACATCAAATAAATTCATAATTGGTCGCCATTTATGAAGACGATCCATGGTCCGCAGAAATAGTCATCTGTAGCATTTAATTACCTCCCTTTTGGATAAAACCAACGCTGAGAGTGGTTCTCACATTAGTGTCGAAATTTTACAGACTATTTTCGTATTCTCGGTATTAGACTGGAACTAGCTTGAAACTGAGGCTAATGCGGGCAGCCTTGATATTCCACTGCATGAGCCTCCATTGCAAGCTAGTTCCAGTCCAATACCGGGAATACAAATGTGGCTCATTTGCATTTGCTTTGGTTTTGCATTACTGCTTTACACTGTTCACTAAAAAAATCCCGCACTTTATAATCCAATCAGAAGTCACACCAAAAACTGATCGTGACTCGGTCGCACACTTTCCCGCACTTTGCGTCAGCTGCATGTATTTGCTTGGAGTCTTGATTGGTTCAACGGATTGTCTGTCCTTTATGATTGGCTAGAGAGATAACTTTGGTTTTTCCTTAACTCTGAATTGAAAACCACGATATCCCCACGTGATGTGATAGGTTTCAAGCTTTCATAAATTTGTCGCCCATACTATCGTTCATTTGGTTTGAATTTTATATATCTCCAACAGGAGGGCACCATCAATAATTTTTAATAAAATCATTTTCAAGCAACAAATCTTCTTAAATACTTTCTCTTGAGTTTTTATGGAACCACGGAAACAATCCCAAATCTTATTGAAAAATATTGATGTAACTTTCCATGCAAAAAGATGTTCTACATGGATCATATCAATTAAGTTTTTAATTTACTGGTAATCTTTTGGAGTGTTTTTGTGAGTGTAAATATCTGGAAATAAAAAACGGCCATCATGGATGACAGCAGCCTCTAGGAATGATTAGGCGCTGCGGTCACCAAGGTTACAGTTAATCGAATTTCAGTAGGATCAAAGCGGTTTTGCTTTGCCTGATCAGAGGATGGCTGAGCGCGAAAACTCCGTTCTATTTACACTTGTTAACAACAACAACAACAACAACAACAAACTTTAATTGTATGACCATAAATACAAACAGTGTTGCAAAAGCTTTTGTAAACTAAACTAAAATAGTACTGGTTATCGCGAACATATAATAAGGTTTTGATGTAGCAATCAAGTTATACCGGTTTGTACTGAAAGTAGAATATGTGTAGATCAAAGCAAGATGAAATGAATTTTGCTAATTGAATATTAAAATAATGATTTGCTGAGAAGTTAAAAGTTCGCCGATGGCGTATGATGTTTTCTATTTTTTTTTTTATAAAATTCATCTCTTAGCATAGAGTATAGCGAGATTCATTTTCAAATTGATTAGATTCACAAATAGGGCAGAGTCTGTTAACCCTTGGAATTTGATAATACCTAGCATGTAGGTCTTAATTAACTTCCCTGTTTAAATGTCAGTTTCGTAGCTTCGAGCTCACAGATAATGAAAACAGTATAACTATAAACGAGCATAAAACAGAAGAAATAAATGCCACGAGTTCAGTAGAAATTTTTAATTTCAATTCCAAGAGAGGTATTCTTGTTTCAATTTCTAGGAAAACTATTTTTACCATTAAAACTATTTTTAGCATAAGTTTAACCGGTAGGCCAAAGATTTAGGCGTTAGACGTGAAAATTGGGAAATTTTAACCGTTAGCCTCAAAAAATGTTAACTGTAAAACGATATAATTTCAGCCACGATATTCTTGGTTTTCATGTGACGTAGTCATATTCCAAAATTAGAAATTATCCTTCCTTCTGAGGTTTAAGTTTCATCAGATAAAAGACCCTGTAGGAACGTGACGTTTGACAATGTTTTAGCTCGACAGAGTTCTTCT